TTGCATTTACCAAAAGGCTCACGTAGCACCTTATCATCCCAACTACAAATAATTGCATCCAGGGAAAATTTAAGTGGCTCTCATTTTGAAAGTCCTCTGGCACTGCCAAGCATTATTATTTCCTATCTTTTTTTCATAGTGTATCAAACTCTTATGTTATGTCCTATAAAGTGTCCTAGAGCTAAATGTACTTCATCTGTGCCAGCATTTTGTTTAAGAATAAAATAAGGGGGGTTGGGAGAAAAAAAAAGTTTGTGCTCTACTTTTCCTAATGATACCTTGTTTTGTAATTACTAAATACATCACAGTCCTTAGAATGCTGCTGACATAGAGAAAATAAGGTCTTCAAAACTGTTTGTTTCATCATATTTTAAGAATTAATACCTTAGGTCATGCTAATCAGTTTCTGATATATGTAGTTTTCAAAATGCACTTCAGGGAAGAAAATGCTGTAAATGACTAATAACAACAAATATGAATTTGATTAATTATATATCTAACTCCAAATGTGAACATTACCAAAGCACTTTGCCATCTTACGTATTTAGGAAGTCTTAAATAAAAAAAGAAATCCACCTCCTTTCATGAAACAGAACATCCTCTTTTTCTAAGAAAAAGAGTTCAAATTTATTAATTTTGTAGCTATATTTTAAAATGAGTGTCAGCTCCTGCTAGATGACTGCATGATAAGTGTCCTGAAACTTCAGAATAAGGCACTAAATTTTTCACAGCATTTGTGTTTCATTTTCAGTGTAATAAAAATATGGTGCCCTTTTAATAATGAATAATAGATCTCCTGGTATGATTTACATGCGTGGATTAAATGTCATGTTTGAAAAGTTGCTGTTTTATTCATATTGAATTTCCCTCAAGTAAAACAAAATGGTACCCAGCTTCTGTTATAACATTGCTAGTACCTTGCCATGCTGGTACATAAATATTAACCAGTTGATATACTCTTTAAAAATCTACAGATCTGTGAACTGTTCTGTCAGCAACTGGCTTTATATGCATACAAACTGATTTAGTACTGAGTTCCAAGTATGTTGGGGAAAAGGCATAGTGCCAGCGCTCACATACTTCTGGAGTTCAGCTCATACTTTTTTTTGTTGCTGAATTGCCAACTTTAGAAGGTTGGCACAGAATAAGGTCCAATGCAGAACAGGTGCAGCAGGACCAGGGTTAAAAAGCAGCTTCAGGAACCCGACACTGACTTGATTGTCCCTGCTTCTTCTCAGCAGTGCTGGACTGACATCCCAGATGACTGGACAGCTTAATGAATGTTTTTTAAATGTCACTTGCAGGCAGTCTCATTGGCTTACAGTGCTCTTTGCAAAAGCTGAAAATTTCCTGTCTGAACCTCCACTTCGGAACAAAGACTGACTTCCTAACAGGCAATATTTTTTTCTGGAAAAGAATTCCAGAAATTGTCAAAATTTAATGCAAATCATTGAAATAGAAATATTTTCCTTAAAGTTCCTTCTCTTAGTAGGTAAAACTTGCAATACACAACAAAATATTTTGGTCCTGATAACTGAATTGATTTTTTTAATTGTTTTTTAACTTATTTTTTTAAGAACAGAAGCATTTAGCCACAATCCATTTTTTTATTCCATTGAAGCCAATTAATATTTTTACTCTGAAAAGTGCGGATTTGTTCTTATTGTTGTAGTTGCTTCATACAACTAGTTTAAAGTTTACTGAACTAACCTGATTAAAGCTAACAAAAAGAAAAACCAACAAAAAAACACCAAAAGAACCCACCACTTTTTCTTTTTCTGAACAAAGTTAAACTTCCATACACCACAAGTCATTGGTGCTTTTCAAGTCATCATTAAGCTGAAAAAAGTATTCTGGAGTTGCTAACACAGAGACATGGATCCTATGGAGTAATAAGATATTGCCTTAAATACACCACAAAAGAAAAAGGTTTACTGACTACTTAAGTCTTCTCTATAGTAGGGTGTTAGTCACCATGAGACAGCAACAAGGAAATTATGCTACTAAAATCCTTGGTTTAGTTTCAAAATTATGTCACATCTGTGCTGTCACTGCCTAGGACAATCTAATGGTAGTAACTGCATTACTAGACACACAGCAAACATCTCATCTCCTTTCCTATCATCTTTTACTTAACTTTAATTCTGGATCTGAGAAAAATCAAGGCAGTGCAAAACCATATTGAAAGTTTTAGAACAATGCTTCTTTACCACTAGAGTTGACCTACTGCATTTTTTTTTAATCTCAGCTTGAGTTCAAGTTCAGTTTGTGTTTTAACGTAGGTGAAACTTCAAAATAGCTCTTGTTTCACCTAAATCAGACAGTATTAACTCAATAAAGTTTATACTTCCTTTGCATAAACTAAATGTAAGAAAATGTCCTTGAAATTCTGGGTCTAAAGCAAGTCCCCTTCAGACCATGCTGTTAGTTGCTGTTCCTAAAATTGCAAAGAGTCATTTGATACAGCAAATGCATTTTATCCCAATCCAAAGCATTCATATGTGTTTTGTCCCCCATAATTCAAGGGAAAAAAAAATACTTATGTGACTGCCTTGCCTTACTGAAAGGCAAATAACATTCAACTGGAGCTATTAAGAGCCACTGTCTAATATGTACCATGAGGTTACAGGGGAAGGTAGGTTGACAAACTAAAAAGGAGGACAGTGAAGGAGGGAAAGAAGGGAAGCTGGTAAGCTGGAGCAAAGAACATTGATTAATGAACAAAAAACATTTTTGAAAGGTCGGGTGCGCAAGTCAGACTAGCCCTGAGGCAAATCTAACTTACATGACCAGCACTTTCTGTACGCAGCAGGTAACCCATGCTGACACCAACTTTGCCGACATGACAGGGTTATTATTTTTGGAAGGATGTAGTGTTCTGGAACAATTTCTCTAATATATTAGTTAAAACTCAGCTTTCCTTCAACAGCAAGCATGCATGTCTTCATTTTCACCATGTTTACACTGAACTCCTATCATTATTCTGGCCAATGAAAACAAAAGCTTATTCTTCATTTGTGAGCACTTGTATTTTCCCCCCTGTAATATATGCAAGAGCAGCAGTGCAATATATAAGATTGTATTCAAACCCAGATGCTCATCTGAAACTCACCACTAGCAACTCACTGCTTATGCGAAGTTTTGCAGTAGATGTTAACCATGTGAAACCTAAAATTTGCCTTATCTCCAGCACAGATCCTAAGGGTTTGTTTTGAAACCATACCTTAAGGTACTGGGCCAATACTCCAAGGTGGAAGAACAAAAAGGTAGAATTGTTCTAAGTGTAATGCCTACATCTTCAAAATGATCTGGTGAAGGAGGTCCTCTAAAATTGTGACATTAAGTTTTTGCTGTCTGTTATACAGTAATGAAGACAAGGAATCATCAGAAGGTTATTTAATCCGACTTCTTCTCCTGATCTTGCATTTTAAGTGGACTTGTACAACCCTTGCACCCTGATTCACTAGACTAAAAATGTTCTCTGTGAGACTCAAAGAGGACTTAAAAAAAAAAACTCTTGGGAAATTGTAAAATGACCAAGCATTTCTTTCAGACCCTAGGATGAAATATAATAGCCACCTCTAAGCAGTTACTGAGGTGTACACACACGCCAGTAGGAATAGCAGAAAAACAAGTACATGGACTTTGCACATATTCCTCACAAATCCATGTCAAGAGTTCCTTTGCATTGACATAGTGGAGACATGCAATTGTCAATTGGGAACATTCCCCAGGTAGGAGCAAAAGCAGCAGGCAAGACCCAGGAGAAAAACAATGCTGAAAGGACGAGGCAGAGCATGCTGGATTCATTCAATCATACTGCCCGTAGTGCTCTCCTTTCAATAAAGCCTGAGAAGACAGTACCTTGTCTTCAAGGCAGCAAGCAGGATCTGTGATCCTGCCTAGGGAGGAATCTCAACTCAGTGATTCCCCTGACAGATACCTGCATTTGTTTTAACACCATGTGACAGTCACATTCATGATTTCCCTCTTTATATGTGTGATCCTTTTCTTACCAACAGCTTTATTTACAGACACTGTACGTTATCTCTTACAGATGACGAGCAATTAAAAAGCAGAAAATGTAACTGAGCAGCACTATATATACCATAAATCCAACAGCTAAAATTACCTATCCACAAGTGCCATACATAAAAAAGTCGCTTTATCTGAAAACTCTTTGGGATGGGCACTGTCTGTTCTGCATCTACACACCACCTTCCATAGTGGAAGGGATGGAGGAGGAAATCTACCATTTAGGTTGTACTACAAAATAAATAATTGAAGAGGGAAAAGACTCACTTTCTCATTCTACCAATGCCTTACAACATACATTAAAAAAAAACAAACACAAAAAAACCAACAAACCCCACACTGAGGGAGATGGGGGTTGTTTTTCAAACTGTAAGGAAGCTTTCATGTGCCAGAGAGTTTATCTGAGACCAATGTTTCAAACAGCACTAGGCATTAGCTACAACAGTGTACAACTGATGCACAACAATCCTGCCATGCACAGCATGCTTAGGCAGGAAAATATGTGTGCCTCAGTCACAGAAGACAGAATAGAGCCTCAAGTGTTTGGGCTCCCTCCAAAATAATCTGAATGCTGCTTTTTTGGCAAATGGGGGTCAGTGGAGCTAAAAACTCACAGAAGGATTTGAGCATTCATGTGTTTATATACATCCACTCATTCATTTATTATTCTAAAGCTACTTTACAAAAATCAAATGACATAACTGACAAGGTGCATAGATAAGAGAGAACAGAAGTAAAATTAGCTGACAACACTACATGATGTAGCGTACATTTGCCACTTTTAGAGTGAGTGATGAGGGTTAACCTAGGAGAAAAAAAAATGGCACATTCCTAAATTGCACCTTAAATTATTAAATAAATTATGAACATGATGGAATGCATTAAATATATAAGCCTGAACAAGAAAGAGTGGATGTATTTTAACTTTCAAAGCAAAGACAACATATTTTATAAGTGTTGCTTACTGTCTGGATACTTTGTCCAAAGTAGATTTCAGTGTTGTAGAAGTTTCCATCGTGTCTAACAGGCAGTGTTGTTCTGGCCCAAGGCTGCTCCTTCTGTTCGGGCCGCTCCAGTAAGGCACCACCTAAGCGGCTGAGAACAGAAATTTTCAGGGTGTAGTGGCCTTTAGGGACCTTATCTTTGACTCCCCTCAGGCATTTGATGTGAATTTCTATCGGCTGCAATGTCTTGGACCAGTCAACCTAGGGAGAAGGCTCCGAGTTACTGATCTGGGTTGAGCTGACTATAACCATACAATTAGCAAGAACAAATTTCTTCAAGAAAATAACTACCACAGAGCAGACAACATGCTTCTTGTTCAACCTGCAATTACCTACTGCTAACTGAAGACCTGCAGTCAGGGAGGTCAAAAGCCGTAGAGATGACAGATAAAAATTACACAAATACTACTAATAAAATGTTTGGCATCCTTGGAGGGAAGGTGAAGCTGCTGAAGTATGACACCAGAAGCCATTAGTTGGCAATAGTAAGGCAGAAGTAACTGGAAAACAACACTTTAAAAAATACAACATGTTTTGCAAGATAGGCACAATACATGATATGATGAGCAGGCTGCAGGCACAGAGTGAAAGACAGGGCAGGCCATGTTTTTATACTAATTATTAACTTTACCAAAACTATGAGTGCTGTGCAATATGCAGACTATCCTTTCACTTTCTGATTATCATATAATCAGATTCTCTTAAAAATAGTAATCAAAGTGCAACACGTGTAGAGTTTAATAACAACTCCCTACAGGCACCTTTATTCCATGTCCAGACAAAAGGAAACATCTGCTACTTGCTGTTGACAAGATGTTGTCTGAGTTACAGAATGCTTAGTATGGAATAAATGCTGTGCTGCATATCAAAAATGCCTTTCTTGTGCTTTCCTTGGATGCTCAGCACAGAGGGTTGCAGAGGGGAACAGACACAGCAGCATGATCCCTACAAGTGTTGCCTGAATCAAGGTGTCAGGTCTGTTCCACTGTGCCAGAGGATCCTTCAGTGTTGCCCAAATACAGTCTGCAGTGTCAGGCACAAAACAAAGAGTCCCAGTTTGGCTCCAGTGTTGACTTCAATGGATAAAATTGCTTCTGCAATGACTACTTATTTAGTGCTTCAAATAATTGATGATTATTTTAATTTTTTTCTCCCCCTCAAGGAATCAATTTCTTCAATTATTTTGAGAAAACACTAGTGCTAGGTCATCTTTTATTGCAATGTAATACAAGATCCCATTCCTCACTTCAGAATCAAATGGCTACCTTGACTACTACGTTTAGTAGTCTCACAGTTTAAGCCTACAGTAGCTAATAATCTCTTCTTTAATCCTGTCTTGGATTTATTTTGGAAGAGATAGCATATTTCCATATAGATAGAAAGCTTCTGGAATTAAATTAAGCAGTTAAATAAACAGTTGAATTTGTTAAACTTCTTTTGTTTCTCAACACAAACCATACTTAAAAACTAATCTGAATGACAATTATTTTCAGCTTAATTAGAAAATCTTAATTAACAATGAAGATTTAACCTTAATATTTTTGGTTTCTGAATCATATATTAAAAAAATTAACATCATGTGAATAAATAAGACAATCTTTTTAAACCTCAAGGCAGGATTACTGATGCAGGCAGACTTCGTTATTAAACACATTCTAAATTAAACGCCTCTATGAATTTTATACTGAAATATATAGTGATAGTTTTGCATGCCAAATGTGACATTTTGTATTTTAGATTCATCTTCTGTAGTAATTTTGGAAATGTCATACAAACAAAGATTTTGTCATTTACCAATGGAATTACTATGCATGGCCGGTTAGCCATCTCTTTTCTGGCTCTTCTGGTTGTTTCAAGTCAGCAAGCCATAAAAAATCTTTATCTCTCTGAAACACAGCAATTTGGAAGATAATCGAATAGTGACTGGGGGGCAGAAACGCCAGTCTGAGGAATTATACCACAATCTCTCTTGCATTTACAACCTTCCTCAAAGCGAGTGTCAGTCGAGTAGGAAAAGGAGATAGAAGATTCATCATATTTCAAGTCTGTCTCATTTGCATTGAAAAAGACTTTCCTTGGCCCGCACTGACAAACCGTTTTGAAGAACTCTTGCCATGCCCAAAGGATTCATCATTAATAGCTTTAGACACTCCCTCTAAGCATATGGTTACTTCTGCTGGAAAGCATCTTTTGAAACCTTCTAAGTTCTATCCTCTTACTCTATTGGGGGGTGAGGGGGAAGAAAAAAAATAGGAAGAAGAAGAAATAATAAAGCAATGCAACTGATCTAGTCATTTAGCACTTTGCATCAGGGAAAAGAGAACCTCACCTTTCCATAAGGTCCTGGTGCTCCATTTAATCCAATATTCACATCTGCGAGGTTACCAAAGGTGGGTGCCATTTCTTCTTCACATCCATTCTCCCCTGCTTTCAGTGGCTGATTTCCCACTCCACAGCAGCCAGAAAGGGAGGAACTGAAAACAAATTAACTACAGTCCAGACACAGAAAGCACTTGCCACTGGAAGTACATCACAGTTTGATGTTTTCCTCAAACATATCATAAACCTTGCAAGGCACACAGGAGAAACAACAGTGTGCCAAAGCATAGAAATGGCTATGGTTCAAAAAGCGGCACATGAAAATGCAGACACAGCCCCGGTAAAACAACAAATATTTGTCAGTCTGTGCTACAGGTCAACATAAGAAACCATTAGAAATGGTTCCACTGACCATGTATAATCAGCTCTGTCTGGCATTAGGACTCAGGCTTTAGGTTAAGAATATTGAAGCAGGAAGCCATTGTCTCTGTCAACACTTTGACCGTTGATTGACAGCTTCAAAAAAACTGGAATGGGTTTTTGGAAACCACTGGTTCTTTATGGATTAGGTCATTTTAAATTACTGCAAAAGTCATTAGATACATTAATCTTACTGTTTTCTTCTAAGAAATCTTATAAATACATATGTCTTATATCACAAATAAATCTTCTAATATCTTAGAAGATATCTTATATCTCTTTGATATCTAAAATCTTCTAATAGAACTTATTTTGTACTTCTATAAATCTATATATGTAAATTATGTATATATACACATATATGCAAATTTCCAGCTGTATGTGCACCATTAAACTTTCCTTGGCATTCATATGGTAACTTATTGTGTAGTTAAAGTAGTTTTGGAGGCAATAGTATCAACTCAAAGATTTATTGTTTTTTAAAGAGAGGTTCCTATAGCAACACAGAATGCCAGAAAATACTCTAAGAACAGCCCTACACTGGATAACCCAACACTGCTCTGTTAGTGCACAGGATACACAAAAGGCATGGTACCCTATGGATAGAGTATGGCACATACAAATGCAAAACGAAGTCATTTACAAGAAGCACTATAATGCTGGACGCTTTGGCAATCCTGTCTCTCTTTCAACAGAAACAGAACCGTGAACTGTTCCTCTGTCTCTGCTCGACACCAGTATGTAGATGGAAATACCCCAACTAAAAACACCTGTAATTGCCCTGCTGGCTTCAAAACACTTCAGCTCTTGCTTCCACAACCCACTTCAAAAGTCTGGGGAGGGTTTGTTGACCATGCCAGTGCTGGCAATACTCCAGCCACACTTGCAGGTGGAGCCAGGGCAGGCAGCACAACACAAAGACACAACCACTCTCAAGGGCTGGAGGTTGAGTGGGATGTCTGTGGCTGAGCACCAGCCATGTGCCACCTTGAAGGTCAAGGGAGCCACCTTGAAGGTCAAGGGAGCCACCTTGAAGGTCAAGGGAGCCACCTGCAGCCTACTGGGAGGAGTCATTCGGAGACAACGACAAGTCACTGCAATGGGTACAGTGGCAATTCAGGATTTGCTTGGGCATCTACAACACAGGCCATCAGAAGATAGGCTCCCTTAGGTTGCCAAGCTATATATCCTGTTTAGTTTTTAGCCACAAAATAAAATGCTAAAATTTGGTGTTAGTTAAGGGAAAAAAAAATAAAATCAAGAATCAAACCCAACTACATTCCCCCAGACTGCACTTCTGAAGCATTCCTTCAGTATTTTATGACTTGCTTTTAGAAAATTAAATTCCAGTGTCCTCTTTCTTTTTTCCTCTTTTGCATTCTAGGTGACGATCTGAGAAGCCTCCACATTTGTAAAATTGACATGCTTCTTTATCAAGAAATTTAGAAAGACTCTGAAATCATGCTGAACATCCCAGACTCATGCACACTTGCTAACTAGGTAACACATAGTTCAATATCCACTCTTCAGAAACAGAAGTTCTCATCTCAAAGTTCTTGGCACAATGCTACAAATTAGTTCCCACAACCAGTAGAACAATGTCATGCCCAGGCAATAGCTGAATCAGTTAGAATGTCTGTTCAGACACTAGTTCCAATTAGGTACATAGAAATTTTTCCTAAGCCAAGACCAGTGAGAACTAAGGACAAGATTCCAGTGCTAAGGACTGAATAGATGCAGCACCTCTGAAATCTTACCCATGACCTGCAGTTAAGTCAATTTGGGTCCAGTTGTCCTAAATAGATGTAACAGAAAATGATTCTTGAATGGCTCTAGCTAATTCATAAAGCAGAAACATCTGAGAAGTTAACTTCTCTCCTTGAGAAGAATCATCTGTTTGGAACTTTGTACTTATTTAGTTTCTCATGATGGAAATTATTTCACTTAATTTGGTTAGAACTGCATTGACACAGGGGTTCATTACGACACCCATTTGCTTGCAATTCAATTTAAAATTAAATACACTTTGTTGTTGATTTTATTACTTTTAAACTACTGTATCTATTGCCTTTATTAGCTGCTAATACACAATTATGAAGGTAAACAGTTTTCATTACTGAGCATCAAACATTTAAATAACCACATTTGATCTCTTTTCGAGTTGCACCATTTTTCTCCTTTCCCTCCTTTTCCTGTATATTAAATCCAAGAGAATAATTTATTCAGTGAAGTTAGGCCTCTTTTGTGCTCACCAGCATGCTCTTCAGCTGTCACAGCAGAACATGGCTTCCTTGGCCATGTCATTTATTTCCTCCATTCGTTTACTTACAGGTAATTTGATACATGTATTTATCTGAAGGTCACGTATAGCCTCATCACAAAAGCATTGCTCCAATTCATAATTCCTTCACTCTCTAAGAGTCATTCAGAGGCAGGGATGAAGGGTGCTGGGAGAAGCCATTTGGTCACCTTTTGAAGTGCACTGTGTGTAGCAGTTAAAAATTAGAGCTCAAGCTCGGTATCTGAAAATGGAGGTATCTGAAACAGAGGCCTCTTTCAAAAGTACAGGCTTAATTTTTCTAGGCCTGAGGTCCTTTGTTTGAGAGAAGTTCCGTTCATGAATATCTGTAAAGCACTATGAGACCTTTGGGAGGAAGGCGCGTCTTATAGAAGTACAAAGTAGCCCCTATCTGACATACCTTTGTAAGAGCTCATGAATTCTGGCTAGCAACTTTTGTTTCTTGTGGTGAGATACTTCCTTATGGTGCTTTGAGTGCCACATGCCAAAAAGAAAAAAAAGAAAAAAAAAAAAAGAGAGAAAATTTAAAAAAACTTAATTTGTTTCCAAATTTACCGAAAAAAACATGGAAATAAAAGCCATAAATGTGAAATATTTGAAAGATTTACCTTTGGTCTTCTGGTTGAAAGTTTTCAAAAACTATTAGGAATTTCAGCCACCATTACTTTATTCTGTTATTTTTTCCATTATTTTTTCCATCTATTTTTCCATTTTTTCCAAGGGAAACTGAGATATAACCCTGTTTTAAAATCTTTGTAAATATACTTGTGCATGGTAGTGCCCTCCAGTCCTTATTTTTATAACACCTAACGTACTCTTATATATGCACATATACATATATGCATGTGTAAGTGCATTTGTACACATGCACCAAAATATAACACACAAAACAGTGAGACACAGACCACCACAGAACCCACAACTTGCCCCACTTTAAACCTGCTCCAAATCTTGATGCATCGTCTCACCACAGCACTTATTAAAAGTTTGGTAAGAGGGACTGGCATTTTTGGAGGCTTCAATGCATAGAAGGCTAACTCACATGAGCACTCCTATCCCCCTGCAGTTTTGCAGCTCTTCAGTATGAAGCTGTAAGGCTTCTTTCACAGTAAGCATAAAGAGTCACTCCATCAAGAAACCAGCATCTACATCTTTTGACCTGTGTTGTCAGTGCTAAAGCTGAAAACAATAGCCCTACCAAAGACTGTAGGCTTTTTCCCTTTGACCTGCACTGTTCAGAGATCTTCCTGAATATTCAAGGGCATTTCTCGTACCTGGATCTTCTACTGGTGTCCTTGAGACTGACATAAAACATGCACACAACACTAAAAATTCACAAAAAGTCTTCCTACTGTATACCTTACACCTTTGTCTAAACAGTGTAAAATTATGCTCCACTTCCACTCTTATCAGCCCCCAAAGCCAATAAAAAAACATTTTGATGGAGAGACAATGTAATAGTCAATGGAGAAAAAATCCTTATTGGAGGATCCATGTCTGGCTGATGAAGTGTCTGTTTTCTTTTAAATCTCTAAATTTCTTGGCAAACATCTAGTGCTTTTCAAGAAAGCTTAGGAATCTCTGTTCAAGGTTGAGGCAAAGCATCCCACTTATTTCCAAAAATAAAAAATGCCAGAGTATAAAAACAGACTATAAAAACATATCACAAAAGTCTACAAAAACCTGTGCAAGTAGCATTTAACCTAATTTTTTAACCCTACAAAATTAGAGACATCATGGTTGCCTTAAAATACAGTATGATTTGTTGATACTCCCACAGGAAGCCTCAAATGGATGAAATATATCCTCCAGGCCCTGGCCAAGCACCACACAAGCACAAAAACATGCGTGACATGACCAAACTACCTCAAAGTGAGACTGCATGGCAGTCACATTATGTGCAAGGCTCTCTTCACCACCATTCCTCTGTTAGTGTGAACCAAGCCCTCCTGTCCCTCCTGGACAGCTTTTGGCTGGAGCTCACTAGGACATATTTCTCTCCTGCCCCCACCAATGCTGGCACTGATTTTCTTTCCCCAGCTTGATGAATCACCACCTACGCTTCCCCAGAAAGGGCTGGGAGCTGGCTCCTGTCCCGTCTCAGCTCCAGCAGAGCTGGTTACTCTCTGGTTAGGGTGACAGGACCTTCCTTGTGCCAATTCCCACAGCCCAGGAGGGACAGTGCCAAGAGATAGGGCAGGTTGTTCCTCCTTGGCTGTCCCACAGGAAAATGCTCTTGCAGGTGGAGGGGACCCATCCCATCAGCAGCAAGGACCAAGCTGCCATGTTCATTGCCCCTGTGAGTTGCAGACATGGGGCTGTCACAGCTGGGACTTCAGGGGGGAGCTGCCCAGCAACAAAGCCGAAAATCTCTGTGAAGGTTTAGTAACAAAAAGTACCAACTGAAAGACATCAGGTGTTTCCAGGGTTTGGTGGCAGATGGGAAGAGGTTTAAAGTTTTGGGCTGAGACGTTTAAAGCTTAAGTTCAGAAAGTAGGAGGTAGTTTTGGTTCATAATTTGTCTCCTGGATGCATCTTCTGGGAGAGCAGCTTTTGAGGTGGGCATTTAGATTAAGAAATAAGATGAAACAGAAAACAACGTAAAATATCAAGGAACCATAATAATACAACAACATTCAGACATTACCAGTTCAAGCTTACAATAAGACAGAAGCAGAGAAGTTTGTAGGGTTTTTTTTAATTGATTATATTACCAGACTCCCATAGCTGCCCAATCCCCATGTTTATCTTCTTCATCTTAATTAAATAATGAATATTCAAAAGAAAGTATTAATCAGGGTTCTCTGTATGAACAGCAATGTTTTCTGTCTCTCTGCCTCTGAAGTGGCAATAGGAATATGATTTAAAACTATTTCTTCTGGATCCTAGTAAAATATTTGTCACACTGTGTCATGCTAATTTTGAAAAAGCTTTATCATCTACCTAATAAATTTGTTAAGTTTATTCAAACCTTATTGAACAGGAAAAGTGCAATGAGTCATGGTTAATATTTCTGTACCTACACTAAGAAATAAAATATATCAAAAATTCAATGCTTAGGGTCCTATTTAGAAAACCTCTATGAGTCTGTAATACATCTTCTACATGATTAAAAAAAAAAAAAACAGGAAACTTGTTTTAAAATGAATTATTCACCACCTTGAATAAATTTCCATCTTTCCTATTTGCAAAACCCCAAAGTCAGTTATGTAAATTTTAACCTACACTAATTACCTCAAGGGTGTGCAAGCTAAAGGAAAGTAGATGCAGAAAAAAAAATCCCTGATATTTCCATCACCAGGAAGTAATTTAATAGTGGAAAAAAAATGTGTAAGTTTTCAAAAACCAAGCAGCCCATGTTAATTTTTCTAAATAAATAAAAAAACGAAGAAAAAATATAAAAAAGAGGGGAATAATCTTTGCTGCATTATCCCTTGAATCAGAGATTTACTGGAATAAACCCAAGTGTTTTTTTCTCGGTGACATATACCATCACACACATAGTTAAGCGCTTCTTTCTCATCATGACACCACCAGCATTGTCTAGACTGTAAAAACGACCCATTGTTGACAATGGGCGTTCCCAAAAAGAAGGCATGAAACGTGGTTTGGTTCCAAGTCAACATAGACATCGACGGCCTTTTCAGAAAACAACATTACTAAAATCTGGGAAGCACTGGATATCCTTCAGAGCTCGCCTGGAGAAACACTGAAGAAAGCAGGGTGCTGTTTGAAGGCAGAAGGGCTCAATCACTGCACCACTTTGTACTATTCCCCACCCTGATACCAGGAGCTGCTTTAGCTGTGAGCCAGCTCCTGCATGTCTTCCTCATTTTCATCAGCTGTCTGGAGGTCTTACTACATAAATGACCTATCTACTGATTTCAGAGAGCGTGTTCAAGACCACTATTTGAAAAAGGTCTTTCAATCTGGGCTCAGTCTAGAGACACATAATGGCAAGTATTGTTTCTACTGCAGACAAAAACAAGAACCTGACTCAATACCATTAATCAGTGCTGAGTAGCTGTTTTCACTGTAAAATTACTTCACAAACTGTAAGTCTTGATTCCTCTTGTAATTTTCAATTTGGAGAAATATTAAAACCCCACCCAAACACCACCTTTCCCCTTCAGAAAAAGCTCACAAAATTCAGCAAGGCTTTGAAGTAAAATGGAATTGATTTTCTATCATTTAGTAAAAATGGACCATTTAGGAGACATATTTACTTCCCTCTTTTTGGTTGGTCCTAGCACTGGTATTACTACCTTCAGGTGAGGTACTTCCCCCGCTGTGGTTTGAAACAGCCAGTTGAGCCTTGGCCTTGATGAAGTGATACTCACTGTGAGGAGTGCTGTGGGATCCACCTTCCCACAATTCCTCCTCATCAGATCAGAGTGCTGCTGAGGCAGTGCGAAGACACTAGCAGTGGGGTCTCCAGCAGCTTTCCATTGCCCACAAGGATCCCACAGAGGATCCCAGTGCTTCCCTTTCATTCCACTCCTTGAGAAATCATATCAGTACCTCACAGTGCAGGTTGTGCTTTCATTCCAGCAGTAAACAATTGCCCAAATGAAAGTTTTTACCTAGAATTTCCATCTCTGCATCCCAAAGTGTTTTGCAGTGACAGAAGTCCTGTCAACTCAATTTTAACAGATGAGAGAAGTGAGATGTCGGGAAGAAGTGACTTGCCTGAGCTCACTGAGCACAGTGTCAGCAGGACAAGAGACAATACCCATGTTTTTGGCCACTGCTGCCAACAAGTCCCTCTCCTTCACAGTCTGGTTGCTGCTGGACATTCAATCCCAGTGATTGTCAACATCTAGTGCACTGTATACCTCAACACAAGCAAAAGAACCATCTGAGATTAAGAAAAAAATGTATATTGGAAGAAAAGTCAACATTCCATTCAGGCACAGTGAGATTTTGAAAGTCTTGTTGTCTCCATGTTAGCTACAGAGAGGTTACAGGGAGTTCAGGCATTGAGAGGTAAGTGGGACAAGTGCCCTTCATTGCAATCAAAGAGTCTAGTAACTGGATAAGACCTGGTCTGGAAGTTGTAGTGCCCATTTTCTGTTGGAATTTCAGTGACCTTGTCTCGGAGATAGCCACAAACCAGAAGGTAAAATTGTGTCATAATCCTGAACACATGATAGTATTATTCATGTTACGCTCTGCCAAAAACATGCCACAAACCCTCGGACATGTTTTTAAGAGGGGAAAAAGTAACAAAGCAACCCTGCCTCTCTTGACTTTCCTTCCAAATTGAAAATTAAATCAATATACTCTTAGTGGACATAAAATTTAAAACTTAGGCAACTGAGACATTTGTAACAGCAATAAAAAAGTAATAAACATAGAATCACAGAATGGTTTGTGTTGGAAGGGGCCTTAATGATCATCTAGATTCAATCCCCCCTGCCTGGGCAGGGATAGCTTGCACTAGGTAAGGTGGCTCAGAGCCCCATCCAACCTGACCTTGAACACTTCCAGGGAGGGGGCAGCCACAGCTTCCCTTGGCCACATGTTCCAATGTCTCCCCATCCTTACAATTTCCTCTTAATGTTTAAGAGAAAGGAAGGGCAAGGAGGGGAAACAAATAGGCTCAATTACACCTGTTCCACAGGTGCAGAAGCAGAGATGACTGAAGAGATCTAAGCAGTGCCACCAGGCAACAGGGGCAGGAAAAGGTACAGAAACAGTAACATCTGTCACTTGGTCTCTCAACAAGCAACACTAATGTTGGACAGGGGTAACATGCTGAGACCAATTATTTGGAAAGTCGGACTTGCAAATATTGACATACGTATCCAGAGTGAGGGTTTGATCCTGAAAATAATTCTGTCTGGATGCACTGAAACAACCTGAAGTAGACTCCCCTTAAGTTTAGGCCAGGGACACAGAGGCAACAGTTCATAAACCAAACAGTGAAGAATTCCTTCATTTGTAGCAAACATTAGGTCTGAGGGTGCTGACAGTCTGGTTATGTTATATTGGACAGTTTCCTTTCTGGAATTTAGCTGTTACGTCCTGAGTGATGTAAATGTTATTTTCCAGTTTCAATAAGTATACATAAAAATAAACAGGATCCCCACAGCTCTCAGGTAGGGACCATGCTATCAGAAATACAAGTTTAAGGTCATCCACTCTTACGCTTAGTCTGAGATTGAGAAGAATTGGAAAACTGCCCCTCAGAACTACACAAGCTACTCTCTCTAAAAATTGAAACTGCAGAACATAAAGTGAGATTTACCATAGTCATGTTACAGTCTTATTACACTGAATAATACAGATACATTTAGTG